CCGGACCCTCTGTGACACCCCGCATGGGGAAACTGAGGCAGAGAGGAGCCCAAATCAGAGGAAAATGCTGGACCTTGAAGGAAAAGCTGAGCTTTTCTGCAGCAGCGGGACTGGACTAATGCTTGGGGGTCTTGGGTGGGAGTGCAAGGCGCACATTTATTGCCCAGAACCACCTTTGCTCATGCAAGGCAAAATAAATCCTTGTTTTCACGAGCATTAAAACAAAACAACTGTCTGTCTTGGCGATGCAGCAAGAAAGGGATAGAGTTTCTGATGGACTTGGCTGGTGAGCTGTAACTTTGCTGCAGCCTGAAACAAACTGGGGGGGGTCGGGGGGGGAACCCCACAGTGCCAGGCTCCCCCGTGTCATGGGGCTGGGGAAACTCCAGCCCAGCGATGCCTCCCTGCTCTGCCCCCGCAGACAACTGGTGTCTGGGGAGAGCTGAGGCTCCTTAAGCAAATGGGATGGAGGTAAACTTAGATTCCGTGAAATAAAATAGCTTTTAATGGCACAGGGACTTAGTGCTGGGTGAAGTCAGAAGAAATGCTCAAGTGGATTATAAATGGCACTGGTTAATCTTAAACTAACATCAGCAGAAAGCCAGCAGCTTGGGTGGGAAATTCCAAAGCTTGCAAACAATATGTTTTTGGCCCATGTCAGAATAAAAAGCTGGTCTCTTGTAAACACTTATGGGGAAATTCTGACCTGGAAACACTTGTTTTGCATTAAAGCCCAGCATTAAGTAAACAAACTGCACCAGAGCTGGAGGTTTTTGCATGCATGTGGAAGCTTTGAGAGCCTGTCAGATTCAGCTGATGTCCATGGGGTTCCTTGAAATACTTTGATTTTTGGTTGAGCTGTGTCTTAATGCTCTCAGTGCTCCCTGGCAAATATTTTGGGACCTTGGTAGCAGCTTATGGGGCTATGGGAGAGTGTCAAGGAGGGGGCTGCAATGGTGTGATGTGCTGGGCTGGGGGGCTCAGCAGCACCCAAGATGGGCTGCTGCCTCCTCTGCAACAAGCCACCTTCTTTCCTCTGCAAGCACCCTTTTTGTGGCCCTGTGGGTCAGCTGATGTGTGTAACTTGGCTCCTGACACGGGTGCTTTGGCTTTCACATGTGCTTTGTGGCAGTTGTTAAAGCAAGCCACAGACTTCCCCCCTCCTTCCCACCCTTAAGGGAGTTTCCTTTTATTAAGAGCCTTTTCAGCTCTAATATTAATAGAAAATGATGATTTCCTTACCTGTGTCTTAGCTTTGCCAACCGTAAAAGGCTTTTTAGTAGCTTTTGGACCTGACTTGGTTTGCTGGAAATATATATGTTGCATTTGTATCTCTTCCCAATCAACTGAAGTGACAGTGGGACCGCAGCACTGTAGTGTAGGCAGTGCTTTGCTTCCTTGGGCTTCACATCAGTGCTGCTCTCATCTGATTAACCAGACGAATCTATACAAAAGTCACTGGTTGGGCTTGTTACCTTTGAAAGCTTTGGTTTTTCTTCCCAAATATTGGTTCCTGCTGGAAGTCAGGAACCTCCCAGGGCTGTGTGAGGATGGGGCATGGGGAAAGGCGGCAAGTGCAGCTTGTGTGGCTCCGTGCCAGGGCTCTTTCAAGCCATCCTCCAAATTGACAGTGGCTTAAAAGCAATTCCTCCCTCTCCTTCTGCTGGGGTTTGGATTGAAAGGGAGAGAGAGAGAGAGGGGCCAGGGCAAGCTGAGGGGTTACACGTGTGGAGATGCAGTACATAGTCTGAGCGTGGTTAAACCCCCCAGGTCATGTTTGCTGCCCAGCAAGGCAGACCTGTGCCTGGTCTGCACAGAAATGATAAAACTGAGAAGCAGGAGGGGTTTTACACAGTGTTTTCAATAATGGCTTTGCTAAAAAAAAAAGAGGTGTGAAGCATTTGTTTGTAAGTGGAGGGCAGCATCCCATTCCTGAGCGTGGGGGAAATCCTGGATGAAAATACCTTCCCCAGCTCTGAGCTGCATAACCACAGCACTGTGCCGGAGGCTTCCCAGCAGCTGGAAAGACGAGATTCCTGCAGTCCTGCATTGCTTAGTCAGGAGAGGTGACATGCAAACATGAGAGGTGACATGCAAACACACCTGGGTTGCTGGGAGAGGAGGCTGGCTCGTGCTCCGAACTGGGCTTGATACCACTAGCTGTGTTTTCCCATGGGAGGATCCTTCTCCGGAGGGGAGGCTGCTCTGCACGGGCATGTGATTTATCGGTTCTCCCCGGCTGCGAGAGCTCCAGGTGCAGGCAGACCGGAGGAGATAGATGCCGGTGGAAATTACCCATCCCCTGCGAGGGTTTGCCAGGCCTGGAGTATTCATGCAAGCAGGGCTGTGTCAGGGGAGGTGTGCTGTGGCCTGGCAGCAAAGCCAGCAGTGCTGCTGGCTCTTGAGTCACCCTGCCCCGTGCATGTGTCTAAAAAGCGAATAACGGGGTGGCTTTGTGCCCCTCAAGAGCCCGTCTGAGCTCGCGGGAGCATCGCGCAGGAGCTGTTGTCTCTCCTGGCAGTATGGCTTTCCCATGCGTTTTACACCCTGGTGATGTGGGTTTGCTGCACGGGCTTCCCGCTGCCTTTGCAACTCTGTCTCCTGAGCAGGAGAAATAGGATCTTTGTAATTACTCTGCAAATAGCTTTTAGAGAGAAAGCCGTAGTTCATCTCGCACAGGATGCTGCAAGAGAGATTGTTGCTCCCGTGGGTTTTTCTTCCAGAGCATCCCCGGGGGGATCCCTCTGCACCTTGTCTGTCGGCAAACCCTTTCGTGCCGATCCCATTTCGTGACAATCCTCTCGGGAGGTCTCCAGATGGAAGTGGCTGATACTGCCTCTGTGTGACAGGCTTCTCTCTGCCTCTAGGCTTAAAATAAAGTACAATACCACTGTTTGGCTTGTTTAGACTTCATCCTCTCACTGGCTTTTGCTGTTATTTGGATAACCTCTGCAAAGTTCCTGCAGGAACCAACAGGAGCTGGTTACTGCAAAGTATTGATGCTCCTCTGCTCCCCTGGGACAGACCTGGGGGTCTGAGCTGCCGGGGCCGCAGCAATGCAAGCCTTGTGCCCGCCTTGCTCTTTTCATGCTTAAATAAACAGCAAAACTGGATGGGTTTACCATGGTGAGAGCCCCTTTGGCAGGAAGAGTCCCTTGTCCATGTCTACAGCTCTCCTGGTATCTGGGTCCCTGTGTCTGTCCTGGTCAAAGCTGCTGTCCCTTCGCCTGCCACCCTCTTGCCAAGCTTTCAGCTTTCCAAGGGAAGTCCTGCTTTTCTAAGAAATCCGTCTTTCCATGGCAGAGAGGCTCTGGGCAGCTATAAGGATTAACAGCCCTTGGGTATGCCGTGCCTAGGGCTGCGACCCCGCTGCGTGGCTCCCCTGGGTCATCAACCCCCCCCAGCTTGCGATAGTGTGTGAGGATGTAAACCCCATTTTGGTGATCCTGACTCATGCAAACCAGTGCTCCTGACTCCGATGGGAAAAGCGTTACTCACGTGAGCTTGTTTGCAGGATCAGGGCTTTAATTATGGGGTTTGCCCATCTTGTAGCGTGGGAACCGGAGCCATTAGCCCCTAAACCTCCAGATCATTCCCAATACATTAATGTTTCTAATTAGTTAAGCCTGATGCCTTTTTCTCTCTGTAATGACAGTGGTGCTAGTACTTACTCGTGTTCACTCTGCGTGCTGGTACTTCATTATATAATGATACAGTATGTGTTGTAATACCTATTCCCAACTGACAGTGGGTTTTTCTGCATATGCCTCATCCAGAACTGATTAGGCAATGGAGAAGACAGGCTAGTGCAAATAAATGTTTGGGTCGCATCCTTTCTAATTAGCTGGGAAGCTGTCAGTGCAGGGGGGGGATTAGGGCCAGGTGAGGACCTGGAGCTGGTGGGTCAGTTGAAGGTTGCTGTGGGATGAAAACCCGTTGCCTGCTTTCTTGCTCCTTTAGGGGATGAGCTGCCCCTTCCCTGGGCTGTGTTTCATTCCCAGTCCTTTCTTCCCATTCTTCCAGGGAAACCATCTCCGTGGTAACCTCAAACCTCCAGGCTCTGCCTCGGAGCTGCTCGCCCATCTCCAGGACCTGGGGGGTAAGTGCCTCGGCAGGGCCAGCCGTGGTGGCCCTTGGCCACCGGGTCCATCGCGCTGCTGCAGGCACCTCAGCGCAGCCCGGGGAGGCGAGGGCTGGCGTTGGGCTTGGCATGGGTGGGGGTATATAAACCTCACACCCCGGCTCCCCCTTATCCTCAGGGCCTGGCTTGTGCTTTGTATAGACTTAAAAATGGGTGGCCAAGGCTGTCCTCATGTGGAAGAAGCTCTGCCCTGGCCCTGGAGGAGGTGCCTGGGTTCAAGGTGAACCCCTGTGCTGTTCCCCTGGCAGAGGCTCTCCCTGGGATCGGGGTGTGTCGGTCAGTGCCGCTGCTGGTCATGCATCCATCGGTAACGGTCTTGGTTAGACCAGGACCAAGCCTGATACCAATTTTTCATCTTTTCCATCCCATTAGAGTCCTAGGGAGAGCAGCAGGGCTGGCACCTGGAGACAGGGACTCTGTCCCCTCTTGGTGCTGCCTGGGCTTGGGGTGCGGTGTCACAGCGATCACCACGGAGGTGAGCATCGCTGTGCCGCTACCCAGCTTGTGAGGTCATACGTGCACATCTCTGGTGCCGTGCAGGAGGGTGGCCATGCACCTTCCTTGTAGGTGGGCAGAAATGGGACCTCTTAGATGTGGGGTCTTGCTGTGAGCCTGCTGGGGCTTGGTTTTCCTGGCACGGGGCAGCTGCAGGAAACATGGTGATTTTCTGGCGTAATTGGGATTAATGGTGTGGAAGTGGGGAAAAAAAACATGTGCAAGGATGGGTGTGCTTTGCCTGGAGCTGGTTCCTGGGGGGGCTGAGCAGAGCATGGTGGTGGGGATGCCTGGGGGCCAGCGCTGGGTCACAGCTCTGCCTGTGGGACTGACCCTCTCTGTCCCTCGGTCCCCGCAGGGCAGGATGAAGCTCCTGGGTGCTGTGTTTCTGGCTGCTGGCCTGCTCAGCGCTGCTGCCCGGGGGGAGCAGTCCCCCTGGCCGGACGAGCCTTCCCGGACCTGCTTCTTCCAGATGCTCAGCGGCGTGGACAGCGAGTTCTGCAGGTGAGTGACTCCCTGTTGTCTCCTTTCCAAACTGCACTAGTCCTGGGCATCCAGTCATGCACTGCCCTTGCGTGTCACCTCCTGGGACAGTTAATTCCAGTATCCCCTTTGCCAGGGCTATAAATATTGGTGGCTTTCTTCCTTTTGCCAGGAATCTGGGCCAGAGCGAAGCAGAGCAGTGCCTGCTGCACTGTGCAGCTCTTGTCTTATGCAAGCTGAGATCTTAGTGCCTCTGGTCACCTCGAGTTGTTCCTTGGTCCATTTTGCAGAGGCTTTTAAAGCGACTTACAGCATCAGAGATGACAAATGTTTTCTGCAGAAAGTTTCAGAGGAAGGAGGCCACTTTTGGGGAAGGAAAGTGGTGGAACAGGTCATGCCGCAGACCTCAAAGCCTGTCCTGCAGAGATGCTAACGCTTGAGGTGTGGGCATGGGAAGAGGAGGAAGCCTGGGGAGCTTCTGGAGCGGCAAACAGGCAGATTGCTGCTGTACCGGCTGAACAGCCGCTGCATGCAATCCTTTATCGAGTGTTTGGATACTGAAGGTCCTTGGCTTAAACTCTTGCTGCCTGGGGGTTGCTGTAGATGGGAGGCAGGGCTGGGTGAGCAGCAGCACACGTGTGCCCCTTGCCTTTGGGGGGTTCTTAATATCCCACGTTACTGGGAGCTTCTGCATTAAAAACATCCTTTCTGCTACTTTTCAGTTAACCAAAATACTCCCAAAATATGAGCAACTTAAACTTCTAGATTAAGGCAAGGGGAGACTTCACTTGGCCCTAGCTTCCTCCCACAAACCATGAGTAAAAGCACCTTGCTTCGAACTCCCAACCTCCTCCGTGCCAGCCCCGTGCCGCTGCGGGTGTTTGCTCAGCAGCCTCTCGGGCTGCAGGATTTAAGGGCTCCTTCTGCGAGGGTCATGTCGGTGGCAGCTAATCTTCAGGGTGGCCTTGAGACTTGCTATCCACACGCTGCGGTGACCTGTTAGCTTGCTCCGGCGGCCCCTCTCTCGGTTAGATAACGCAGAAGGGGAAAGCACTTCATGCAGAAGTGGGAGCTGGAGATATCTGACCTGCTACTGCACTGTCAGTACCCAAAACACAGCGGAGGCTTGTCCCCGCTTTCATATCGTGGGGGGGAGAAGGGGGCTCAGAGCTCAAACAGCTTGTCTGAGGTCAAGGGGGGGGTGAGGGTAGCTTTGCTCTCCATCTTCAAGCCTTAGATTAACCTGTATGGGCCATGCTTTTTAAAGACTCTTTACACGCATAATCTAAGGTGTGCTGAGCCATAATGAATGTTTAAAGTCTTGCTGCTGCTTGGGAGAGGGAGCAGAGCCCATGGTTATGTTACAGCACGGGAGGGCTCTTACCTTGGTGCACAAGGTGCCCAGCACCTTTGGTTGGATCCTGCACCTCCCCACCCAACTTTGCAACCGCAGCTCAAATCTGGCTGGGAAGCGGCACTAATCCCCATCCCCTGCACGGTGTGGTCTCGCCCTACATGCTCTCCTCTTCCCTTTTCTCCCCAGAGGGGATTTGGAAATTACCTACCCGGAGCTGGGCCATGTGGGCTGCATGTACATCCCCAAATGCCACCAGTACCGGCGACGGATCAGCAGGGAGTGGAGCAGCCCCCGCGTTCGGTACCCCCAGGCTGACAAGGTGAGTCCCGCGTCGCGTTGCTCATGGGCAGCTGCCTCTGCTCCACGCTCCTCCGCGTTAATTAAAGGTGTAGCCGGATCACGGGGGAGGAATTCGCTGGGAAAGGATTGCTTACGCACGTGTGCGCTTGTACTTTGAGCCTGGCCGTGGCACCCTGGCAGGGAGCTGGGCCGGGAGGGACGCCCAGTGCCTGTGCTGTGGGTGCTGGGGACAGCCCGGGAGCTGTTTGTCCTGCGCTGTGCGCGGCTTCGCACCGCTGTCCTGCGGCCAAAGCGCTGTCACCTGCTGTCACCTGCTCGGGTTGTGCTTGTTAAACCTGTGCCTGAAATCAGGGTGACTTTCCAAGCTTTGTCCTGTGTTTTCCCCGTTGTTTGAGGCTGAGCTGTGGGTAAACTTAAACTAAATTTTTGCTACAGTGGAGCGAAAAACAATTTATATGCATGGATTTTTTTTTTTGCAATTGCTTTTAAACTTTTTAAAGCAAACGTATGCTTTGGCTGGGAGTTTACACCCCTCGGT